GGTGAGGTGGGGGCATGGCCTGAATGCTAAAGCGGTCAGAGCTGAGTTAGGTATCTACTGGGACCTTCTTGACTTGGGGATGCTGGGACCACCTGCATCAATGCTTGGTAAATTGAGGGCCCAGAGAAGTCTCTGGACACCAGGAATGACAGCCAGCTTCTTTCAGGCTCATCTCTGGTCTAGGTTGTGTCTGGCTGATCAGAGAAAACATTACTGGGAGGTGGCACACATTACTGGGATGGAGCATCGATAAAGGGCTCGAGTCAGACATCAGTAACTACTTTCATCCTAGCATTTAGTACGTGCGTGACCTGGGACCAGCTTCTCAACCTCTCTCAGCCTCAACCCCCTCACCTGGAAAACAGATCCTGTCATGTTAGCTTGGTGGATTAAATGTGCTAGTGTAGAAAAACAATTCCTCTCTTTCTCTGGTGTTCTAGCAAAAAGCACTTTGCTATTTCCAGACCACTTGCAACATTTTCTCAGCATGCCCCCACTGGAGCTCAGTCGTGTCTGGCTCAGATCCCTGGGGCATTTTGTGGCATGATGAAGCCCTGACACATTTGATCCCTCAGATAGTCCCTTCTTTCCTGGTGTGACCATGTCACCACCACTTCCCTCTCTTGGAAATGGACTTATTAAGTGGGTCACAGGATGGACAAGATGGGCCGTTGGCGACCATATTTAGACTGAGTCACCGGGTCTCCTGGCGGACTAAGAGTGAAACCCTAACAGTAATTGTGCCGATGAGGGTTTTCCCTCTGGCGTCATCTAGTAGGGGTTCACACATAACCCTGGGAGAATCAGACCACCTTTGGCCACTGTGCCGACTGAGTAGCAAAAGGAGTTGGTGATGCAGATGTGCAGGGAGCAGCAGAGCTCATGCCTGACTCTCAGGGACCCCCCTCCATCCTGCCCAGGCAGTCTATCGAATGGTTCCCTTCTCTATTTACACATATGCCAAATTCTCTTCTTTCTGCTTCAGCTAGCATGTTGGCTTGAATTGCTACAACGAACATACCTTTTTGCTGCACAATTTTTTTTGCTACTTGTTATGTGCTTAGTTGAACCAGCATCCTAATAAGGGGAAACTGGTAAAAGGCAATATTTAAACTTGAGAAAATGATAGTCATTAGCTCCCCCCGCCCCCCATTGCTATCGAGTCGATTCTAACTCATAGTGTCTTTCAGGGTCAGAGTAGAAATGTCCCTTTGGGTTTCTGAGGCTGTAAATCTTTACGGGAGCAGAAAGTTTTGTCTTTGTCCCACGGAGAGATTGGTGGATTTGAACCGCTGACTTTATAGTTAGGAGCCCAACACATAACCCATTCCACCACCAGGACTCCAACTCTCTTTGACATTAGGAAGCCATTCTTTCTTTGAGTTGTCCTGCCTGTGGTGATACTCAGGGTATCCATTTGCCACAGGAGATGTAAACAGGGGCTGATTTTCAATTGATAATCCTGGCAGATAAGATGCCAGCTTTTATCCCATTTACCTCTGAGTGCTAACGGGATATGCACCAGCAATGATCCCTGGGAAAGGCCAAATGTCTGTTTCCTTTTCCCTATAAGAGTAATATCCATAGACTCATTTTTAAGATGCTCAATGCAGATAACAACATACCCTCATTTTCATTTCTGGGAACTCACAGTAGCAGCCAAGCGATCTATGAGGACACCATCAAAGGTTTATGTGGCCCTGCAGCCTCTACCAATACCATTACTTGAACATTCGATGCAAATGAGACTTTTGTAGCATTATTGGATCCATAGCCATTGCCGTCTTTCCCTCAGAGAGTGAGAAGCTCAGATTCTCATCATCCCCGGAAAGAACCCCCAGGTCAGCATGTTATATGATTTCCCGGCCTCTTTGTGGCTTACTATAAGTGGAGTATGAGACAGGAAATTATGCAGATGTTTCAGTAATTCTCAAAACTTGGCCATACCATGCAGATCTGGGAGTGGAATGGCATATGGGAAGGGGTCTGGTTAGGTTTGTTTTTTTAAAAAGGTAGCCTTCTGTGGGTGCTGAGCTGGCCCTGTCCTGGAGAAACACTTAGTTTAAAAGGTGGAGCATATACTAGCAGAAGACCACCGGTGGCTTCCAGTCTCAGTCCCCACGACCAGCCTCAATGATGAGAGCCCATCCCATGCAGCTTCAATGGCCTCCTCCAAAGGCCAGAGGAAAGCGTTACGAGGGAGATGGTTTCCACTCTCCCTTGCCTCACTCAGAAGAAGACAATGGTCCCAAATGAAATCAGGAGAGCTCTCTTGGTCTCTGCCATCTTCCATTCCAGCTGGGCCCTAAGAACTCACAGCCATAGCTCTTCCTTCATAAGAAAGCACTATAACTTTCATTTGTCTGTGCCTAGACTTTATAATACGGCAGAAATAGCCAGTAGCAGTGTATATTCCCCCAAATCAAAACCACTGCCATTGAGTGGCTTCCGACTCACAATGATCCTAGAGGACAGAGGAGAATTACCACATGGGGTTTCTATGGCAGCCATCTTTCTCCCATGGAGCAACTGGTGGGTAGGAACCGCTGACCTTCTGGCTAGCAGCACATCACTTCATCGCTGTGCTTTCCCACCATTGTGACCTAAAGAAGCCCCACTAGGTGTTGATTTGAACATGGGCACTTTTCTACAGTTGTAGCAAACCTCTGAGTGTAACTTCATGATATAGGTATGTAAGTTTAATATGGATCAAAGGATTTTTCCCCATTCTGTGTTTAAAACACAGAAAAATAGCACCCCTGGCCCAAGAAAGACAAAAGCACCAAACGAAGCACACCAACAGACACAAAGACAGCTCTAAGCCAAAGGGCACCCAGCCAAGGAACAAAGGCAAGACCTCTGAGTGGGAGGAGAGCAGAGGCTTTTCAGAACAGGATCAGAGAGGTACCTATGGGAGAAAAGCTCTTGGCTAGAATAGAATGGAATTTAGGAAACCCTTGTAGTCTTGGGCTTGCTTTCTTTAGCATCTAGCTCACAAGAGAACAGGATGATTAAAGGACAGTTGCTGGTAAGAGCTTAGCCCAAGCCATTTCTAGATTACTCTGGAACCAGAGAATGACACCCTGTAGGAAAGTTATCCAGGGAAGTAATTGATCTGACCACCCTGACTTTCCCAATGACACAGCTCTTCATTCTAAGAGCAGGGAGTTTCTAATGGGCTGGTGGTGAGACTATGTTCAGTTGGGTTTGCACACGACTGAGCAGCCTCTTAGGAGAACATCACTCAAACCACAATAGGGATGGACTGCCTGGCAAACTGGAGGGGGTGCTGGGATAAGTTTAATTGCAAGGATAGAGAGGAAAGGTCACTTAGAATTCCCTGGAATTTCCTACCAGGAAACTGGTAGAAAGTGGGATTTGAGGAGCTGAAGGGACCAGAGTCATCTGGTTGCTGTTTCTAGACTCTATTGTAAACCAACTATCTTGGTGGCATGTTTCCACCAACTTTCATGGTTAATGTAACAGCATTTGCATCCAAAACTAGTTTCTCTAACCCAAATGTCTTTTAGCTCTCAATCCCAGCTGACAGCTGAGAACATCCTTCTGGCCTATGGGGACTCTCAAGCACAGTGACCAAGCTTATGTAGGTGCTTGCTCTGCTTTTTAATTTACTGATGAGCCAACACTTTTCTTTTCTGGCTCACAGGAAAACCACCCTCTTCACTCTTCTCCTGCTTTTGTATTCATCCATAAGAGAATGACTGCGATGTTACAGAATGATTTAAGATCGATTCCCAACCAAACCAAACTGCCAGTGAGTAGATTCTGACTCTGTAGGACCCTGCTTCCCACCAGCTTCCTTTCCTTCCTCCTTAGGCTTCTGAGGCTGTAAATCCTTCTGGAGGCAGAAAGCCTCCCCAATCCAGCCTTTCTCAGGCTCAGAGGCTGGTGGATTCTCACTATGACCTTGAGGTCAGCAGCCGAAGACCTAACCCAATGTGCTGCTCGAGCTCCTTTGAAGACCGAAACCATTGAGAAAACAAAGCAAGACCTCACTCACTTTAGAGTGTATTTTAGTGCTGTTTTATGAGAGGTTAACCCTCGTTAAGCCAGATACTCATATTAATGCAGGATGTATGACTCTTCTATGTTGGGTGATTGAATGCATGCACTAGGGCAAGAATGCTGGGTTCGCAACCACTTGTTGGCCATGTGCATTTAGGACAAGTGTTGAGTCTTTCCATGCTTAGCTTTCCTCTTCTGTTAAATAAGGCTTATATTGGATGGTGTAAGATATGGCAATATGTATACACATAATAATAATAATAAAGGCTCCTGGGGGGGCAGGAGGGAGGAGGGAGGGGATAAAGGGAATTGATATCAAAGAGTTCAAGAAGAGAGAAAATGTTTTGAAACGGATGGTGGCAGCAATTGTACAATGATGCTTGATCTAATTGAATTAAGGATTGTTACAGATATTATATCTGTAAGAGCTCCCAATAAAATGAGTAATAAAAAAAGAATAAGGCGTATAAGGAGGATTAAATGAGTTAGCATCTACGAAGTGTTTAGATCAGTTCCCCGCAAGTTGTAAGCAGCATGCATCTGATAATGAGAAGGCCGTGCCTTCATCCCCTTACACCTCTCACTTCTCTCTTCCTCATTCTCAGTCCCTCCAGCTTGACCTGCCCTTTCTCCTGCTTCATTTGTGAGCACCGCGCTGGCTTAGCAGACACTTTCTTGAAGTGTTGGTGCCTTTGGAAAGGTCTTCGTGACCATATTCACCCACCAGCGGCGTCAGAACACTCCTCTATCCCCCACTGAAGGTGCAGCTGGAGTTATCCAGGCAATCAGCCCACCGTGGGC